GGGAACATCTAAATATGCTGTGCTTTACAGACAAAACATCTACAGAGGGATGTTCTGATGAATGGAGTTTTTCAGTAAAGCAGGAACTGTTCCTTGTTTCATTCCTTATGGTTGCAAAGCCTTCTAAACCTGAATTGACTTTTCCTCTTCCTCAGAAAGTGGAGTCTAATGAGCAAAATCTGATTTTATCTAATCGTTGGCTGTCATTATTGCCTCCACAGGCATTTCTGCATCTTGACCATATAGGCCATTTTATTTCATTCATTCAATCGACAAATACATATCAAGTACCTGCCATTGTTCTAGGTTCTGGGGTTACATCAGAAAGAAATCCCCACTCTTTTGGAACTTGAATCCACGTGTGTGCCTGTGTTGAGGTGAGGGGAAGAAGGACAGGGATGAACAAGGAATGAGCAAATGACATATAAGCTTGGTAAGGAAGTATTCTCGGTGCTGGTGCACACTTGACGGGCCCCACGCTGAGGCCACTGGGCAGCTAAGACTCCCCAGCAGTGGGCTGACCCCCACTCAGGACAGGTTTTCTTCCCTGCCCAGGGCCCCTGCTGCCTGGGGACCTGACCGATACCTTCTCTCCAAGCTCAACAGCTCCCTGGTTACTTATGGCTGAGATTTGCCAGTTAAGCAGATCATTTGATGCCCGCCTGCTCCGATATTTTCAGGTTCATTTTCTCTGTCGTTTATCTGTCACCAGCCTATCTCTGCCTGGCTCTTGGTTTCCTCTGTGATTGAAGCCATGACTGTGTGTGATGCTCAACCTCCATAGGGTCCCCTCGTGACGGGAGGGGAGGCTGTGTTTGGGGTGAGATAGCAGATGGGTTATTTGTACCATAAACTTTCCCCATTGTCATGAGGTTGGAGCAGTGATAGCTAGAGGAAATATAAACAACAATTTTCCCTGTACTTTTTATGTCTCTGTCAGTCAGATGTGCCATGCTGACATGAACACAGGAGTCATTTGTTCTGTGTTTGAAGCTGAAATGTGCCATAAATACACCATAGCCCTTCAAAGAGTTGGTTCACAACAGCCTGCTTTAAGAGGCCACCAAAGTCATCTTTTCAGGAAAATAAAATAAAAATATGTGTACAAAACATTGCCCTTGGGAAAAGTTGAAAACATTTTTCCTATTTATGATCTGGTCTTTTTCCACTTGACAAATATTGATTGCTCTCTCCCAGCACCACCCCTTCCCTTCCTCCTGTTTTAGGTGGGGTCCCAATTCACATGGGCTTCTGGTGAAATAACAAGTGTATTTGTACCTAGCCCCGGAGAGCCCAAAAGCCAGCAACTGAGGAGACGTTCGAGGCCAGTCCTATTCTAGGATGGGGACAGAACAGGGAGAAAAGACAGTTTTGGGAATCCACCAGAACAGGCTGTGGTCTTCATTAGAAAAATTTTGTCATTGTAGTTAGTGAGAGAATGTTAGGAGACTGGATCTATCATTAATTATCATTAGATCGATCCATATGAAGTTACCATTTGGGAGTAAAAAATAGTCATTATTGGTGATTTCATCGGGTTCCATCTGAAATTGAACAATAGCTACTAGTTATTGATTCCTGCTTGTGTGCCAGGCATTGAACTAAGCACTTTCCAGCAATGATGTCATTTCATCTTCACAGTAACCCCAAAGCATGGTGTCTTCTCCAGAGGCAGACTCTAAGATGAGGATTTGTGATTTACTTTAAACAGTACTCCCAGGAAAAAAGCAGGACATGGACAGGGATGAAGCCAAGTGAGGATATGTCTTTGGGGCAAAGTCTCAGCTCGAGCTGCAGAGCTTCAGTTAACCATCAGTTTCTCCCATCTCAAGACAAGAGAGCTGGGCTTGTGTGTGCCCACAGGCCGTCACTGGTAATGGGTGCCCCAGGAGCCCACGCTCAGACTCACTGGACTCTCTTGCACACCTAGGTCAAGGGGCTCCAATAACCCTCTAGCAGCCTGTGAGCAAGGTCACAGGCACCGCCCAAAGAGGCAAAGCACCTGGAATCCGAGGGAAGGGAGGGCCACCGAAACAGTAAGGGAGCCCTGGCCTCCGGGCAGAACACCTTCAGAGTCCTCTGGAGGTGGGAGTTCATTTTATTGCCCTTTCACATGTGAAGCCGTTGAGGTTTAGAAGGATAAAAGTAACTCAGCTCTGGCCAATGAAGAGGTAGGACCAGAACTCTGCTGTCCTGAATTGGCCACTGTCATCCTCTCAGGGGCAGTTCCAATGTCCTGGGTCACTGGGATCAAGCTGGTGGCACGTGGCTCGTCCTTCCCTTAGACGGAGATTTCAGAATCTACTTGCCTCATTGGGATGGATTTGGATAGCAGGGGTAGTGCACGGAGGGGCTCACCCCACTGTCCGACAGCCATAGCCCGTCGAAGTCCTTTAAGTAGGGAGCTGGGCTTTTCATCACATTAGCGCTCCCATGTGCCTTTCTAGGTGGGCAAAGGGGCTCTGTGAGATCCGCTCTCAGGTCTCCTTCCAGAGGCCCTAGAGGCTGTCCTCCCACTCACGGGTGCCCTAGTACAGGCAGGGGTGACCTGCAGCTCTCCACGGCCATGGCTGATGGCAAAGTGCTGTCCAAGGTCACTGCCCAAGAAGGCGATTGCTGCTGTAATCAAGAGTTCACTCCAAGCTGAGTCAGACCAAGGGACGCATGGGCACCAGAGCACCTGGTGAGGGCATCCCCTCCAGCTGTTGCCTCCGCCCACCCTCCCCCGGCCAGGTGTGGTCACTTGCCCACAGTGGCCTTCCCCCAGGAAGCTGAGTCAGAGCTTTCCAGCCCAGAAGTGGGAGGACACAGTCTGGAGGCTGGATTGGAGTTCATAACCCCTGTTCATCCCCTTACTAACTGGAGTGGTTTTTTTACTTCCTACCTCCATGTTGTCATCTATAAACAGGAAATGGCAATATTCTACCCTGCAAAGAATAAATAAGATGTTATCAGGCAGTGTCTCGCATGGAGTGGGCATCTAAGACATGTTTGGTCCCAGCCTTTTTTCCTTGGTTTTGCTGGCACTGCTTCCTGTCCTATTACCTGTCTTAACTTTGGGTCATTGTGTGCATTTTAATTCAGTCCAGCTGCCCTGGTCTTGCTTGGGTGCAGGGTACAAGCCAGAGAAATGTGTCCTTTATTTGAAAGGTTTTGTCCCTTCTGGGTTACTGTCTGAGTGCTGTCCAAGAACACAAATGGCTTGCTTTTTTTCCTCCATTGATCTTGACAAATGCCGAGCTAGCACCTGGCCCTTTCCATTGAATTCCATTATACGCCATATGCTGATAGCTCCTCAGATGAACCCTCTTGGATGGCACATTGCAAGAGAAAAAGCAAAACAGTACAAGACACTGAGATGCTGGGTCCTGCCCCACTCCAGCCTTCTCCCCCATACATAGAAATGCTGTCCTAGTTTTCAGCAGCCTAATTGAACATCCATCACATAAGGAAAAAAAAAAAAAAACCCTGGCTTGCCACCCACACCATTGTGCTAAGAATAACTTCTCTCCCAGCAGTAGAGCTGGTCAGAGTCACTTCCTAGTGTTTCCATCTGGAATTAGGTGTGAGGATTCAGAAAGCGCATTTGTCCATTTTGAGTCTGAAGCTGGCATGGGCCCTGAAACTTGGAAGTCTGACAAAAAACCAAGAAACCTAGAGTAAACATCCAAACACTTAAGTACCCGAAAATCTGTCTCCTGTTGAAAGTCTTTTTTCCCTTTTGTGTGTTGTTTGGATCTCATTGAGTCTGTTCTTCCTCGTTTGTCCAGGAGTCCGTTTTAAATATTGACTTTATTTACTGAGACGGGGTTCATTTGAGCTCAGCATCTCAACAGCTGAGTTCCCAAGCAGCAGGACATCTCGATGACCAGGAGCATGGGTTTACTGGTTTCAGGTTGAAATCAGCTTTCTGGAGTGATTGCACGCCTGGCTTTGGGGAAAGGATCATTTGCCCTTTAATCTTCCAAATAAACAGAATCATCCATTCATTCAAAATTGATTCCCAGAAGGCCAGCTTTGTGCCAGACACTGTGCTACTTAAGCACCAGGGCCGTGAAGTACACACAGTAAGATATCCTTCTCTACTCTGTTGGAGATCGGAGTCTGATACCAGAGATTCCCTAACTCTGGCAGCATGGTGGACTCATCCAGAAGCTTTTTTCTGGAAAAAAAAATTATTTATTTTTGGCTGTGATGGGTCTTCGATGCTGCATGGGCTTTTCTCTAGTTGTGAAGAGCAGGGGCTACTCTCCATTGAGGAGCACAGGCTCCAGAGCACCCCAGTTTCAGTAGCTGCTGCACATGGGCTCAGTGATTGAGGTTCCCAGACTCTAGAGTGCAGACTCAGTAATCTGGTGCATGAGCTTAATTGCCCTGAGGCAGGTGGGATCTCCCCAGACCAGGAATCAAACTCTTGTCTCCTGCATTGGCAGGCGGATTCTTTACCACTGACTGAGCCACCAGGGAAGCCCTGGGAGCTTTTTAAAATAAAAGAAAAAAAACTACTTTATGCGTGTGTTTTCTCAATCCTTACAATAATCTTCCAAAATACTGCTACTGTCGTCATCTTGGAAGATGTGGAAACCGAGGCACAGTTGGGGGAGTCGCTTGCCCAGGGATATTTAGCGTCTCGGAAATGGCATAGGACCCCAGGCGCTCTGCCTCCGGAGAGCTGCGCTTACCACTGAGTCGTCCTGCCTCTTCATACGTGGAAGCGTGAGAGGGACTGGCGTGAGAGGCCTGGGTGGCGGGAGCAAGTGGCGAAAGAGAAACTAGCGAGGGGAAGCTGGAGAGGTGGGTGAGGGCAGGGCAGAAAGGGCCTCGGGCGCCCAGGCTAGAAGACAGGATTTTATCCAGTGGATGAGCGGAAGAGCTATCACCTATACCAATGAGAGCAAGAAGCCATTAGCTAGGGGGCGTGGGGTACATTTCTACACAACGGAAAGTAGGTCAGTGTTTTGGAAGGGAGCGCGGGAGCGCGGAGGTGCAGGCGCTGGGTGATGACAATCAACTCTGACAGCAGCTCCGTGCTGAGTGGGGAGGAATGTGAGAAGGGCCTCCCGCTCCTTCTCCCCACTGAACTCTTGCTTCGACATGTTATCTGGACCTCACAGGTCAGCCCCAGAGCAGCTGGCTCCGTGCCTTCCTTCCCTGGAAGCCGCATGACCTCCCCAGCGCCGGTGCCTACCATGGCCTTCCCACGCAGTTGCCCGATGCCAGCTCATCGGAGCACAGCGGTGAGTGCAGTGGGGCAGCCACGGAAGAACCAGAAGCCCACGCCCCTTCCCTTGATGAAGGCCAGGACAGAGGCTGCCTAGCCCCTCAGAAGCAGTAGGTGGTATCATTTACACACGTGAGCCTGGGTTTGAATCCCAGCTCTGGTGTTTAACTGCGTGATTTGGGGGCAAGTCCCTTAACTGCTGTGAAGATCAGTTTTCCCATCTGTAAAATGGGGTCGCCATGTCTACCTTGCAAGTGTGTTTTAAAAATTGGAGCTATCATGCATAACACCCCTGGTAATAGTGCCTAAGGCTCTGAGCAAATGACAGCTCTTATTATGCCTGGTTAACTGCCATGACCATATCCTAAGCCCCTGTGGGTCTTGAGAGCCCAGAATGAGAGCCCCTTATTTTGCAGCTGAGAAAATGGAGGCATGAAAGAGATCCATGGCTTTTCCAGGGTCACCTGGAATCTGAACAGCAGAACCGGGAGCAGGGGATACCTTTGAGAGGCCTCACCGAGCAGGGGTGAGAAGTTCAACTCAGCCTTGGCCTCGGCCACTCCTAGCCTTTGCTCTTTCTCCCTCCATGATGGCACAGATACAACCTTTCTGGAAGGGTTGTGTGGACAAATAAGCTGTCATTCCAAAGTGCTGAAAAGCACTCCACAGGTGCCAAACCATGACTCTCCATGGATTTCAACACCTCGGCTGGCATGCCTTTCTGCCAGATGCACGCTGCCTGAGGACTGTGTGTGTGTGTGTGTATCTGTGTGTGTATGCATGTCTGTGTGCCTTTGTGTGTGTGTGTGTGTTTGTGTATGTCTGTGTGTGTTTGTGTGTGCATGTGTGTGTGTGTCTGTGTGTGTGTATGTCTGTGTGTTTGTGTGTGCATGTGTGAGTCTGTGTGTGTTTGTGTGTGCATGTGTGTGTGTCTGTGTGTTTGTGTATGTCTGTGTTTGTGTGTGCATGTGTGTGTGTGTCTGTGTGTCTGTGTATGTCTGTGTTTGTGTGTGCATGTGTGTATGTGTCTGTGTGTTTGTGTATATCTGTCTGTGTTTGTGTGTGCATGTGTGTGTCTGTGTGTTTGTGTATGTCTGTCTGTGTTTGTGTGTGCATGTGTGTGTGTGTCTGTGTGTGTGTATGTCTGTGTTTGTGTGTGCATGTGTGAGTCTGTGTGTGTTTGTGTGTGCATGTGTGTGTGTATGTCTGTGTTTGTGTGTGCATGTGTGTGTGTGTCTGTGTGTTTGTGTATGTCTGTCTGTGTGTGTGTGTGTGTCTGTGTGTCTGTGTATGTCTGTGCATGTGTGTGTGTGTCTGTGTGTTTGTGTATGTCTGTGTGTGTTTGTGTGTGCATGTGTGTGTGTGTATGTCTGTGTTTGTGTGTGCATGTGTGAGTCTGTGTGTGTTTGTGTGTGCATGTGTGTGTCTGTCTGTCTGTGTTTGTGTGTGCATGTGTGTGTGTGTCTGTGTGTGTGTATGTCTGTGTTTGTGTGTGCATGTGTGAGTCTGTGTGTATTTGTGTGTGCATGTGTGTGTGTCTGTGTGTTTGTGTATGTCTTTGTGTGTTTGTGTGTGCATGTGTGTGTGTGTCTGTGTGTGTGTATGTCTGTGTTTGTGTGTGCATGTGTGAGTCTGTGTGTGTTTGTGTGTGCATGTGTGTGTCTGTCTGTCTGTGTTTGTGTGTGCATGTGTGTGTGTGTCTGTGTGTGTGTATGTCTGTGTTTGTGTGTGCATGTGTGAGTCTGTGTGTATTTGTGTGTGCATGTGTGTGTGTGTCTGTGTGTTTGTATATGTCTGTGTGTGTTTGTGTGTGCATGTGTGTGTGTGTCTGTGTGTTTGTGTATGTCTGTGTGTGTTTGTGTGTGCATGTGTGTGTGTGTCTGTGTGTGTGTATGTCTGTGTTTGTGTGTGCATGTGTGAGTCTGTGTGTGTTTGTGTGTGCATGTGTGTGTGTGTCTGTGTGTTTCTGTATGTCTGTGTGTTTGTGTATGTCTGTCTGTGTTTGTGTGTGCATGTGTGTGTGTATGTGTGTGTTTGTGTGTGCATGTGTGTGTGTGTCTGTGTGTTTGTGTATGTCTGTCTGTGTTTGTGTGTGCATGTGTGTGTGTCTGTGTGTCTGTGTATGTCTGTGTTTGTGTGTGCATGTGTGAGTCTGTCTGTGTTTGTGTGTGCATGTGTGTGTGTGTCTGTGTGTGTGTATGTCTGTGTGTTTGTGTGTGCATGTGTGAGTCTGTGTGTGTTTGTCTGTGCATGTGTGTGTGTGTGTCTGTGTTTGTGTATGTCTGTGTTTGTGTGTGCATGTGTGTGTGTGTCTGTGTGTCTGTGTATGTCTGTGTTTGTGTGTGCATGTGTGTGTGTGTGTCTGTGTGTGTGTGTATGCCTGTGTTTGTGTGTGCATGTGTGAGTCTGTCTGTGTTTGTGTGCATGTGTGTGTGTGTCTGTGTGTGTGTGTATGTCTGTGTGTGCATGTGTGAGTCTGTCTGTGTTTGTGTGTGCATGTGTGTGTGTGTCTGTGTGTGTATGTCTGTGTGTTTGTGTGTGCATGTGTGAGTCTGTGTGTGTTTGTCTGTGCATGTGTGTGTGTGTGTGTATGTCTGTGTTTGTGTGTGCATGTGTGTGTGTGTGTCTGTGTGTCTGTGTCTGTGTGTGTTTGTGTGTGCATGTGTGTGTGTGTCTGTGTGTGTGTATGTCTGTCTGTGTTTGTGTGTGCATGTGTGGGTGTCAAGGATAGGGGCAGGGACAAGGAGAGGAGCACACAGAAGAGTCCCGGTTTTCCAGAACCTCTCTTTATACCTGAGCCCCGTACACTCTGGCTTAGCCCCCTGCCCTGTCGCTCAGACAGATGTGCCCTCGTTCTGCCCGGTTCTCTGCAGCCCGCTTTCAGTCGCCCGCTGCAGGAAGCTGTGAGCCACCTTGCTGAGCAGCAGTGATTAGCCCAGCCTTCAGGCAACAGAGTCAGGGACTCAGTCCCAGGTGCCTCTTGTCAAATAGGGTGTCATGGAAAAGGTGGCATTTGGGATCAGACAATAAAGATTTGAATCCCAGCTCTACTGCTTCTCATGTGACCTTGAAAAATTACTATTGCACCTTAGTTTCTTCATCTGTAAAAAGGGAGAAATGTTGCATTATTTGAAGACATTAAATGAGAGGACTACTCTGGCATAACTGTTTCATTCCCACCCCAAACCCTGCTCCCATCTCAGTGGCTTTCTGCACCTGGATTACCGAGGTGCCCTGGGCTGATACTATGTATTGACCTGAATTGTGGATTGGGAAGTCAGAGAGATACCAGGATGAAGAGGTGGTTGTTGAAAGCAAAACCTGCCTCTCCCAAAGAGGCATCTTCGTGGAGAGGATGGCCTCGGCACCCCAGGCTTTGGGGAGGAAAGCAGCCATGGTGGGGACACCCACATTTGACACCCCATGGCAGAAGAATGGCGCAGTGCCCTGAATGGATGTCCTGGATAGAACACATGTGCCCATAGCCTGATTGCGTACCTCTCAACTAACGGAGTTTGGCAGGAGGCCAGGTGGGGAGGGGGCAGATGTGAGCTGGGGCTGCAGTGAGACGCGCTAGACCTCCCTGTGCTTCTCCTGGTCTGCAGAACTGCAAGGCAGATGTTTGCAGACAGGTTCCATGGCCTCTCTCTAGCTTCTTTTCCCTGCCTGGCCCATTCTGTGTGCCCCAGATCTGGGGATACAGACCCCTCTCCCAGTGACTGTGGATGGTGTCCATGAACCTCTCTCGGAGAGGTCGGGGTCCCTATTGAACCCTAGCCTCAGGTTCTGGGTCTTCACTTGGCGTCTTATCAATGGAGATGTCCACATACTCAGATACAACCACAAGGTGTCATGTGGTGACTCCAGGGTAGGTGGGAAAGAACTGTGGCTTAAACTTACTGTATACCAGGAAAAACCATCATCGTAATGGTGGTGGCAGTGACCATGATCACTGATGAGCGCTTTACACATATCAATTCACTTAATCCTTCTAGCAAGCAACTATAGGAGGGAGGTACTGTTATAAACCCCATGTTACAGATGAGAAAGCTGAGGCATTAAGTGGTTAAACAAGGTTACATGGTTGGTAAGTGGCAGAGCTCAAACCATGTGGTCAAACACATGCAGTCTAATTCCAAAGTTACCCTCTTTTCAACCACTGTACCCACCTCTATTGCCTCTCTTCTTAATCTTGCTCCAGAGGCCCAGGAGGTAGGTGTTACCTCCTGTCGTAGATGGCATATTGTTGTTGTTTAGTCACTGAGTCAGGTCTGACTCTTTCTGACCCCATGTGCTGTAGCACTCCAGGCTCCCCTGTCCTTTATTGTCTCCCACTTCAGCTCAGTTCAGTTCAGTCGCTCAGTCGTGTCTGACTCTCTGTGACCCCATGGACTACAGCATGCCAGGCCTCCCTGTCCATCACCAGCTCCCAGAGTTTATTCAAACCTGTGTCCACTGAGTCAGTGATGCCATCCAACCATCTCATCCTCTGTCATCCCCTTCTCCTCCTGCCTTCAATCTTTCCCAGCATCAGGGTCTTTTCAAATGAGTCAGTTCTTCGCATCAGGTGGCCAAAGTATTGGAGTTTCAACTTCAGCATCAATCTTTCCAATGAATATTCAGGACTTATTTCCTTTAGGATGGATTGGTTTGATACTCTTGCAGTCCAAAGGACTCTCAAGAGTCTTTTCCAGCACCAAAATTAGAAAGCATCCATTCTTTGGCACTCAGCCTTCTTTATGGTCCAACTCTCATCGGTGAAACAACTGAGACTCAGAGAGGTGTGGCGACGAGGCCAGGTCATCTGTGGGGCTCTTTTCACTTCACTGAAGGACTTCTAGGAGAGCAACCGAAACCTTGACATCATCTCTTACCTTATGGGTAAGAGGGAGGAGTATGCGTTGGGGGCACCCAGGTCTTTGCTCACTGCCCAACCCTGCCACCTGCACACTGGCAGGCAGGAAGGAAAGCCCCAACCCTGCCTTTTTGCCTTTCAGACCTCACCCCAGCATCACC